TATGTGGTAGGAAAACAATCCTAAAAACAATCATCAAGATCTATGCCAATGATAGGAAATTAGAGGCGGATCTTCAAAATTTGCGGCTATTTCGCTCGAAAAAAGATATCCAACACGGATTGCAAGTGATGAGAAGAACAAAAAAAAAAACCGTGAAAATTCAGGATTTGAGAAAATCCTTTTTGTGATGTGGACGGTGCAACGACGAATAGATACCGGGCCCCGAGGAAAGAGAACAGATGAGATAGCGTGACAAAGAGCCAGAAGCATCCAACCCATTGCGCTTCGAGTAGTAGCTACAGCCGGCTTTCAGACCAGAGACGAGGTATGCCTATCTTGTCGCGCGTTTCCTAACAGCAAGAACGAGACATCTTCTGTTTTTGCTGATAATTCTGTATTGCTCAAAAAAGTTCATCCATTCAGCTTAGCAAAAATGCCTTCATATGACAATCCGCGCCGACTGTATGCGCAGAAACCACTGCACCTTCCTCAGAGGTGCGCTATTGCAATCCTTATGGGATGAGGACTACCAATGAAAACGACGGATCAGACCAAGCGATTTGCCCGCACAATCAATGCAGCGCTTCTTTTAGTCAAGAATAGGTCATTTAGGAGATCTAGAAAATGGAGCTGAAATTTAATGACGCATAAAAACTACAGATTCATATTGACCATTCTGAAGCTTTTTTATCCGTGCGCATTTTGAGCTTGAGCATTCCTATGCGTTTATCGCGACATTCAGAAAAGAATCATCCTCCTTGAACAAAAGAAAGCAAAACAGGCAAACGATAAAGCATGTACGCAGTACGTAAGTACATGCACCAGAAGTAGTAGCCACAGGCCCGACGGAAGCGAGGTGTGGTCTTCTCGCAGTGAAATGTGTGCTGGCTTCAGCGCATTAAGGTCTTAAAACTTTCCGTGCTCCGCCCGTACAGTAAGTGCTTCCAATAGCAGCATCATTCACTCATTTTGAGGGAGTATTTTATCAAGCGGCCGTATCTTCAAGTTTACCTTGTGCAATGTACATAATCGAAACATGATATACTCGATATCCGAAAGTTGGGGTAGGCGTGTCACCGGAAGTGACGTGCACTTGATAGAAGCTATGTGGATAAGCTGCTTCCAACATACATCGCTGGATATCAGCAAAGCATGCTGGCAACAGCTTATCCACGCAACTTCTATCAAGTGCACGTCACTTCCGGTGACACGCCTACCCCAACTTTCGGATATCGACTGTAACTGTTGGCATTATGCCGGCTCTTAGATTTAGCGATTCCTCCGAACGACATGCTTCATAGTTGTTGGCTCATGCTTAGTCGAAAATGAACTAGCAAAGGCGCTATCGCAGTATATGGGGGCATCCTTTTAGATTAAGGCCAAGGAGGGGCAGGAGCTTCGCGGAAAATGAAAATGGCTCACGCACCTTGGAGTCTCTCCTCCCCGCCTAAGGCTTAGTCCCGTTTTTGACAAAAAAAACATTTTACGCAGTTTCCAATACTTTGCAGTAACAATGCTCCCGCATATTGTGATAGCGCCCCAGCAAACACAAGGTCCAATTTGTGGTGTTCTTGACAATTCCTTCACTTTTTTTCCGCTTCTGGCGCTTCATTTCGCACAGCCACTTCCACGCTAACCTCATCAAGATTCTTCGCTATCGCTGCCTTCAATTGCAACAAACCCGTAAATCAAGAAAACACCTACCTTAGACCTGCTTGCGTACGAAACACTGGAGCCACCTGACACCGAAGCCATCGTGGAGTCTCTTCTACTAACCTGAACTTTCCAATAAAGCCAAGAAGTAAAAATCTGAACAGAACTGAAGTGTACATCAGTCACCAATGGACAGAACAAACCTTGATGGTTCCGTCAGCCATCTCTTCTTTCACATCTTCTTCTTCGGCGTCCGCATCCGACGCGGCAAGCACTTGTTGCAAAAGTTGTAACTGTGCTTCCTGAAATGACCTTGGTTAGGAAGAATTTGAGGCACGTTCATTGGCATTGCTTGACCGCTACAGGATGCACCACGCATTCCAACCAGACAATTCTTGGTGGAGAATCTTCCCAACAGTTGGCGCACTGTTTAGCTTGATCTCTTATCGACATATGTAATTAGAGGGCAGAGGTAGGGTAATGGCAAATGGCACCACTTCCACACGCACGGTTCGGAGGTCAGTTCTCTCATCGAATCTTGCCCAGGCCAACCAAGCCTTCCATCAATATAGGCTCGGTTACATAGCGGCATGCTCCTCTGGATGGATAACAACACTGAATTTTACACAATCTGGTCCCTCAAGATATAGAGCACGATGCATTCATGTGCAACTACGTTTCTGAATGGAAGCAGATTACGTAGTGCATCCCCAGAGCCACAATTCTGTGTTATTATCCATCCTCCATAGAAGCATCCCAAAAGGAACTGACGGTCGCCCAAAGCTCTCTTCTTTGGCTTTTATATGAAGTCACAAAATGATACGTTGCCCATGTAAGAATGCATGCTATGTGATTTGCTACACTCAAGCAGAATCATTCCTATGAAAATTGTGAACTGGCAATATCAACCAGAGATTCATATGAAAACTGAATTCCCTAAGAAAAACAAACCTTGGTCCCAAGTTTGAGATCTTCTTTTTCCATACCAGGCAATCTATTGACAACCTTGTACGCATAACCTTGGTTCACCAAAAATCTGAAATTTACATACTCAGATTTGGAGCCAAATGAAATAACTTTACCTTTATCTCGTAAAGAAGCCCATATACCGTGAAATTACCATCACCAGAACCTTAATAGAACAAAAAAAATGAATTTTACCTTTGCCTCTTCCGAGAGTAACCCATTTCGACAGTATCTTGGGACACAAGCGAATAGAAAAAGGCATTGAATTGATCTGTGGAATGCTTTTTGGCTCGAAGGATTCGACCCAAACGTTGTGCTTCCTGCAATCATATCGTTCGCTTACAATTACTAATATCCTTGAGAACTAGTCTTGTGGGTTTACCTAATAAAAGCATGACTTATCACTTGCTCAGGGGCCAACAACATCACAAATTACCCTTCAGTTCCAGATTAACATAGTACTTTATCTGCAATTTTGCCAACGAATTTACATCACTAATGGGTCGCAGTTGTATAACTCGTACTTTAGTCAGGAAAGACACGACCAGAATTTAGCTGAAACAGAACGAAGGACAACTTTTTTGTTACCTGATTCCACACTACAACTGAAGCTGTTCCCGTTGGCCCATCAATATAAACAGCTCACCACCTCACTCCTTTTGGAGAAACAAGCAAGGTTCTCCAGTTGAAGCTACTCAATGGTAAAATGAGAACACGATGCTATACGGGGGCATCACAAATAACTAAAGCCTAGGAGGGGACAGGAACTCCAGGAAATGGCCCACGCAGCTTGGAGTCTCCGCACGCCTAATGGTTAGTCCCCTTTTTTAGCAGAAAAAGACATGTTATACGCTGTCCAAATGTACT